GGGCACAGAGGGCATCTGGGTGCTGGAGCTTCACCTGCCATGCAGGTCCCTCGGACTCCACCAGCCCTGCGCCCTGCCCGGCCACAGTCCTCCAGCTGAGGGTCCCTCTGGCAGGAGGCCAGCCCCTCTGCAGGTGGTGCTGCTACAGGTGGGTGCCACAGCAGGAGGGATAGGACTCCTGGGGTGGCTCTGGGCTGCAGAGCAGTGGCTCTTCTGGGTGATTGGTGTGAGAATGGAGTGATGGGATGCCTGGCAGGCACTGCAGGGTGTGGGGAAGGCCTGGGACGGTCGCTAGTGAGGGGCAGGTGGGAAGATCAGGGTCAGCTCAGTGAGGGGCTGGTGGGAGGGAGAGGGTCGGCTCAGTGAGGGGCCAGTGGGAGGGACAGGGCCGGCTCGGTGAGAGGCTGGTGGGTAGGACCGGGCCGGCTTGGTGAGAGGCTGGTGGGAGGGACAGGGTCGGCTCAGAGACGTCCTGGAAACAGACGTGGGGACAGACTCTGAATGACTGTTTTGGGGAACGTGTGCAAAGCTAGGATGCTTTCAAGGGAACACTCCTGTCGGAGCACAGGACTGCAGGTGGTGGGAGACGCGTGGCCCATGGCCCTGCCCGCCCTGTGCGCACGCCCCCCTCGGCACCCAGCATCTGGGGTAAACCACCTGGCCTGCTTGTGCTGCTGTCCCTGGCTTATTTTAAACATCCTTGGCTGCAGGCACGGCCTTGGGACCCTCTGCCCCTGCGTCCCCCCCTTCAGGCACCCCCCACCCAGCACTGCTACGGAGTTCGGCTGGCAGAGGCGTGTGGGCCTGTGGTGGCTGCCTTTGCTGCCAGCTGAGGAGCCCCGTGGGACCTGGCCTCCCCGGGGATGTCGTGGAGTGGGCTGGGAGCTCCCAGGGCTGTGCAGCTCTTGCTTGTGGTGACGTAAAGAGGTTGCCCTGCATGAGAATGGCCTTGGAAGACCGGGTGTCCACCTGTGTTCCTTTGCAGAGAAGAAGCGCGCCCCCGAGGCCTGCAGATGAAGTAAAGGTGGGTTTCTCGAGTGCACACGGAGCTGGACGAGGTTTTGCATGGCAGCGCTGGGTCTGGCCCTGGGGGCTGCAGGACAGCGCCTGCTGCGTCTCTGGGAACAGGTTCTTTCTGAGGGAGTGTGAGTTGTGGGGCTTCTCTCCTTCCCGGCCTGTGGTGCTGTCCTCAGGGTGGGCAGGGGCCATGGCACCTGAGTGGCCTGTCCTATGGAATGGGGCCATGGGCCCTTGCTGCAGAGCCTGCCACTGGCTGGCAGGACAGCTCCTGCACACTTGATCTCGGGCCATCTGCTGTGGGTTGGGCCTGGGGTCCCCTGGATCTTGAAGAGGCCATAGGCCTGTGTGTGGGGGCAGCAGCTGGGCAGCAGGGGTTGACAGCACCCTGGGCTGGCGCAGACTCCCCAGGAGGCCCTTGCTGGGGGAGAAGGGAGCTTGGCTGTGGGATGGCCATGGGACCTTGGATGTGGTCCCACGTCCCCAGCATGCCTGAGTCCTTGGAAGGTGACAAGTCACTGGCTTTGAGTGACAGCAGGCACTGGGCAGTCTGAGAGTTTGTCCCTGGACATGGACTTGTGTGTCCACCTATGTGCTGCAGCCCAGTGTCGCCCGACGGCAGCTTCAGAGCCAGGGCTGTCCCTTGGCGCCCTGGGAAGGGTGTGACTGTGCTGGGTACCTCAGGCTGCTCCTCTCCACAGGCTGGGGACCCGTTGGGGGACGGCGGTTCTGTCCTGGACTTCATGTCAGTGAAGTCATATTCCGAGGCTTCTCTGGACATGTCCATGCTCAGCTCTCTGGGTGAGTCATGCTGGGCACGTCCCTTTGGCCTCTTGCGTGCCTGCCCATGTGGCATGATGGGACACAAGTGCTTGGCCCCAAATTCTGGAGCCTCCCGAGGAGGGGGCCCAGCCAGCCAGCAGCACAGCCCAGGCTTACTGATGGGCCTGGGATGTGGTCAGTGCAGAGGATGGGCCCCCACCGTGGAGTCTGTTGCAGCTCCAGGGGTCGAGTCAGCGGAGCGGACCAGAGGACCCTGCTGGTGTCCGCGGCAGCGCTGCTTGGCCGGAGCCCCACCCCTGGTGCTAGTGCAGGTCACGTGGGGAAGGAGGGGCTTTCCTCCGGAGCCCTGGACAGATCGTCTGCTCACAGGAGGGTGGCCTCCATGTCACTGGACCCAGTGGCTTGGCCTGGCTGGTGGCTGTTGAACGTGCGCTCTGCTATCCTGGGCACCACTTCAGATGCCACCTCTCCCCCTGCAGCAGGAGCTGTGGGTGCGCTGAGGCCATCCCTGCCTCCTGGGACACTGTCCCTTCCCTCTCTCCTGCTGGAGCGTCCTGCTTTCCCTCAGAGTCCCCCGGGCATACGTGGCAGGGTCCGGGCGTTTCTTGGGTGTCAGGGTTTACTCCACTGGGTGCCAGGGCACACAGCTCGGATGGGTGGCCTTTGTTCTGTGGCCATAGGTGGTTTGGAGGCCTTGGAGCCTTTCCAGGCATAGGGAGGCCCCAGCCTCGCTTGTGTAGGGCAGTGGAGGCCCCTGACTGGCCACACCCTTCCGAGGGTTTGACTGGCCCGGCCATGGGATGCAGGCCATCACACATGTGCGTGGGGTGCTGGTGTGCCCAGCGACGGCCCTGGGGACTTCTTCCCTGGCTGGGTGGTGCCCTCTCCAGCCCCCGTGTGGCCGCTGGCTTTCTGTGGTTCACGTGGGAGCCCAACCCAGATGTCCTTGTAGTGGCCCAGGCTCTTCACAGGGTTTGAGCACCCAGTAGGCTGGCCAACAGGGCTTGGCCTGAGGGGTCCTGGAGCTTCTGTCCATCCCCGTCCTGCAGCTAGGCGCCCTCCACTGTGAGCTCCCCAGCCCCCATAGCTGACCGGGCCCTCTCCTGTGGGCCGGCTATGCGCCCAGCTGAGCCTGGGGCATGCCGCTCTCTCCCCCACAGGGAAGGTGAAGAAGGAGCTGGACCCCGATGATGGCCACTTGCACCTGGATGAGACCACGAAGCTGCTGCAGGACCTGCATGAGGCTCAGGCCGAGCGAGGGGGCTCCCGGCCGTCCTCCAACCTCAGCTCCCTGTCCAATGCCTCCGAGAGGGAGCCGCACCCCCCGGGTAGGTGGCTGGGGCCCAGGCTGCCTCTGCCTCTGTGCCCAAGGGCCTCAGTGGGTGCAGCTGAGCGGGTGCCACAGTGCTATGGGGGCCCCTGGCTGTGCGCCCTAGTCCAGCTGTCCCTGCGGGTTCCTCTGCCATCAGGCGCTAGGCTCTTCTGGTGGACCCGGGGGGCATTTCTGCTGGGCAGAGTGCAGCGCCATCTGGGCGGGGCACCCCTGCAGTGGCACGTGGGGTTGGCTCAGGCACATCCTGCTGTCCCCTGTGACTCACCCCTCCTGGGATGGGGGCAGAGCCCAGGCCCACCGTGCTGAGCCAGCGTCCCCCGTGGACGGCCGCCCACCCAGCACTGCTCTCCTGGCTGCCAGGGAGTGCCGGGGCATTCTGGGAGCAGGATGCACGCCGACTTGCCAGAGCCATTGGAGAAAGTCCTCCTTGTGTTCAGGCTGCGGCTGGGCTGCGCCCGGGAGCCAGTGGGCAGCGTGGGTTTCCGTGTCATGTGGACACAGTGCCTCTCACACTTGCAGGGAGCCCTTCTCACCTCAGCGTTGGGGAGCAGCCGGACGTGACCCACGACCCTTACGAGTTTCTGCAATCCCCAGAGCCCACCGCGTCCGTGAAGAACTAGCTCTCGGTGGTCCCAGGCCTTTTGCTCCAGTTTTGCCCGTGTCTGTGGTTTCTGCCATGAGACAGAGACTTTGACCTTGTCCCCTTGTGTGCAGGCAGTGGCCTGGGGTGGAGATGCTCATCTGGGCTGTCACGTCAGTGGCACAGAGGCCCAGCAGCACTGGGACAGCCCCGAGTCCTGAGCGCCACAGGAGCTGAGGTGTGGGGTAGAGCGCTGAGTTGAGGGGCCTGCCCCGCCGTGTGTCAGGTGCAAATTTGTGCCCACCAAAGCCCACCCCCTGTGCCCCTGAGAGCTGCTCAGGGCTGGCTGGGCCAGGCAGCGGGACCTCCCATGTGATCGCYGGACCTGAGCCTCGCAGTCCCTGGAAGAGGGCGAGCTATCCTCTGGGCAGGAAGGTCAGCCGGGAGATGTCTGGAGTTGAGCTTCTGCTGAGCCTGTCGCGTCTGCAGAGTACTGTACACAGCCTAATAAAGGACTTCTGGGATGCCGGGCGAGACGGTTTCTGCCCTGCTAGGCTGTGGGCGCTTCTGCTGGCCTGCCCCCTTGGGGACTTCCATCAGCTCCAGGGACTGGGCACAGAAGACGCCAGGTCCTGGGGAGTAGGGCCACGGCTGGAGAGGCCTGTGGGCAGCACACAGAGTTCAGAACATGCACGGCCCCCTGAGAGGCCTGTGGGCAGCACACAGAGTTCAGAACATGCACGGCCCCCTGAAAGCAGGGCCTGTGCCACGGGACTGAGGGTGGGAGGGGCCAGCATGTCCTCCCTGTGGGCAGACCCTGCACAGCCTGCAGTCCTGGCCTTAGTAGTGCCACTTTCCCCCAGGCTGTCCCTGTCCTGTGCCCCCAGCCCATCCCTGGGTCGGCATAGCAAAGGCAGGATGGCATCCACAGGCTCCGTGGGAGTCCTGCTCGCTCCCCTCAGCCCTCGGGCCAGACCTTGTACTGTACAGCAGTGTCCTGTGGGGTGCACGATGTGACCTCACAGGGCGGGGTCCCTCCCTGGGCATCCCTGCTGTGCAGCCTGGAGTCCTCCAGCTTGGCAGACGTGGCCCTGGTGGGCGCCCCAGCTGGCGTCTGGAGGCCCCTGGGCCGAGCTGGTGCTCTAGCTCCTCGCTCCCCAACCTGAGCCACAATGGAGTGGGGCGCATGGCCCCCAGACAGCCCTGCGCCCCGTCCACTCTCAACCCTTCTGCACGCAGCCCTCACCCTTTCTGCAGCAGAAACCCAGCGTAGACCTGCTGCTGACCATGTCAAAGGCCATATCTGTGGCACTAGATGTGCTCACGGCCTGTGTGGCCACCTCCTCCCTTGGGCCCATCTGTGTCCAGGAATGGTGAGCTGTCTGGGGGTGTCAGGGATGCCCTGCCATGGCCTTGCCTGCACCCCGGGCACTGCCCAGCTCCAACTGGCTGGTGGGACCCTGCTGCAGTCAGTGGGCAGCCCAGATCGCAGAATGGGGTTCCTGCCTGCCTCTGCCTCCTGCTTACACGGGCCCGTGGCCAGCTCCTGGGCCCCAGAGGAGCTGCTGTGAGGGTGCTACATGGCTGCTGGTGCTGCCCAGCCCCTTGCTGTGGCCCTGGGCCTTCCTGGCTGCTGTTGAGGTGGCCACTGCTCATCAGGGCTAGGACAAGGGGCAGGAGTTGCAGCGGCCACCACACCCATGTATCTCTGAAAGAAACTGCGGACCAGCCGGGTAGGCCTGGAGGTGCTGCCCCCTCTCCCCACATAGCCTGGGTGTGGCCACCAGTCCTGCTCTTGGTTCTCCATGGGGGCTCTGCAGTGACCACTGGCTGCCAGTCACAAGAGCCCACAGCTGTACCCCTGGCCAAGGCCACACTGCTGGTCCATGGGGCAGGGCCTGCTGTGCAGGACCAGCCCTCACCCCTGCCTCAGTGCAGTGCCTCTGGACCACCAGCCACTCTGGGATCCGTGGTCCCCAAGGGACCCTGAGGATTTCTTGCAGATGGGTAAACTGAGGCAGTGCCCCATCTCCTGGTGTGTGGCTGAGCCTATCTGTGGTTGGCTGTTGCATCCCTCTGGGCGCCAGCGCCCCCATCCAGGGAGGGGAGGCAGCCCCCTCTCCTGGCTGTGCATTTACTGAAGGCCTCCATACCGGAGCCCGGGAGCCTGGGAAAGGCAGAGTTGCCCTTGGCTACGGGACAGGGTGTGCCATTGTGTGTGTGGAGTGCCCGCAGCAGGTATGCAGGTGGGTGTGCACGTGTGGAAGTGTGTGCCACAGGGAGTGTGGGGCACTGCGTGCAGGTACACGTGGGTGCATGTGGGCATGTGTAGGTGTGTGGGTGTGTGCAGGTACCTGTGGGCATAAGTGTATCTGTGCAGGTTTGTGGGTTGTGCTGTTGGGAGCATGTGTGTGTATGCAGAGTGTGTGAGGTGTGCAGCTGTGCGGGTGTGTGTGGGTGCATGTGGGTGTGCCAGGTGTAGGAGTGTGCATGTGTGAGCAGGTGTGTGGGTATGTGCAGGTGTGTCAGGTCTACCTCATCGTACTCAGAACAGGGAGAGCAGTCTGTTGTCAGTGACACTGGGTGACCTGGTGGCCACAGCTGGAAGCGCTTGCTTTCATTATGGGTGAAGGAGTTGGTTGGCCCTGTGGTGGTCCACCCTGCAGCCAGGCTGTGAGCACAGCGAAGAAGACACCCTCAGAGCCATTCTGGGCTGCAAAGACCTGCTGTTGCCCCCTGGTCCAGCAGCACCTGTGGGAGCTGGGAGCTATCCATGTTCCTGGGCCGTCCAGAGCAGAGGCCCCAGTTCTGGGGAGCCTGGGGTCCTTGACCACCCACTTCTTACCACGCCTGCCTCCCCTCTGTCTGCCTTCCAAGCACACCTCCACCTGTCTGCCAGGGACTTCGAGTTGCTGGTCTTGGTCATCGGCCTCCCGTATACCCTGACATGGTCGGCTGCCTGTCGGATGGTGGACTCTGCCCAGTGTGGGCTCTGGGCAACAATCAGAGCCTTGGACTGGCAAGGTGGGCCTGGCTGCAGATGGCTTCCTTGGATGGCACCTGAGGGGTCACTGGGAAGGGAATGAAGGGAAGTCATCAGCCCTCCTGTCCAGCTCCAAAGGGACACAGCAGCTGGTCCACACAGGGGCCTTCAGATAGTTGTTGGACCCACAAATAGGAACTGAGAATTTCCTGAGTTTAAGGCCTGAGTCTGAGAGAAGGGCTCAAGGGAGGAGGAGAGGACACTGTATCTGGCCYTTGGGAGAACACAGGCCTTCTCCAGCAAACCAGGCAGTGTCCACATGCTTAATCGGCCTCAGCCATCCAGACGCACGGCCACCACAGAGGGGCAGCCTGCCAGGCAGTCAGGGTGGCACATCTGCCTGGAATACTCTGCAGGCAGCGTGGGTATCTCAGCTTCTGGAGCAAACAGCTGCCGGGTTTCTGTTCTTGAGACTAAAAGGCTCAGGGGTCACTCTAGTTGAACTGGGCTAACTGGGCTGCACGAAGTAACCACACAAGAGACACGAATACCTTTTTCTTTGGGGTAGCTGTGACGGCTCCTCTGACCTTAAGGGTCTGCAGAAAGAGAGAGCGAGAGCACGCGCTGACCCCTTTTATTGAGGAGAAGCTATTCAAATGAGGTAAGGGGTCAGGTTTTAGGGGCTGAGTCTATCCTCATGATGTCCACTGTCAGCAGGTTGACTGACACCTGGGTAGGCCACACCCAAGGGCACAGTAAGAGGAGGGGACACACACAAGGCACTTCCATGGAAGATTCTATCCTAAACAGGGCAAGGGGTTAGATTACAAAGGAACAGGTGAGCGTAGCTTCACCCATGGGGCTGTAGCAAGACACACCCATTTCTGTGACTGAGCGCCTCAGCACCCAGCTGGGGAGTGTAACTCAGTCACCGGTAAGGTTGGCCTCCCACAAACAGCCAACAAGATCAAACCTCGGCCAGCATGAGCTGTTGACCCTGGAGTCAGAGGCCCGCAAGCTGGTGGCTTGTCATGAGGGAGTGGGACAAGAGTTTCCCAGTCAGTGTGAGTGGCAGGCAAGCTCTGCCTCACGTCCCCCGTGAGGAGCCCGGACAGGACTGAGCCGGGTCTGCAGCCTGTAGCTTCCGCTGTTGCTGGGATGAGGCTTTGTGAGGCACCTGGGTTCCGTGGCTGCCACGAGGACCAGGGAGGCCCTCCACTTCCCAGCACCGAGTTCAAGGCGTGCCTTGGGTGCTCAGCCTGGTGTGACAGGCGGCGGTCGGAGGGGCTCTGCTGCAGCGGGGCTTCTCAGCCCTGGGCCTGGCAGCCACCCTCTGAACTCACTGTGTTCTGCAGGCAGCGTSGGCCGATCGCCGGTGGCGGTTCCCCTGGAGCTGGCAGGCTTTCTGTCTGGTGAGGCTCAGGAAAGGGGTCTCTGGGGCAGGACGTGGCCTGCCAGCTTCCTGAGGGCGAGTGGGCACAGGGCTGCTGGGAGAAAGGAGGGCTCACAGGTGGGGACAGGCTACTCAGGATGGCAGGCAGTGGGTGGAAGCCAGGGGCCGTGCAGAGGGGACCAGGAGCACCAGGGCGGCTCACGGGGGTGACGGAATGGGAAGCAGGCGTGGCCCTGCTACACTGTTGTGATGTCAGTCTGGGACCATGGGCACCTGACACCAGCCCTGGGGCAGAATCCCGCCTCCAGGGAAGACAGGAGGCCTGAACCACAGTGGCCATAGAGGGGCCCACGCCCCAGCCCCAGCAGTGCTGGCTCCTGCCCCCAAGGTCGAGGTCCCCAGTGTCAGGAGGCACTGCTGGGCGCCCCTCCTGGAGCCCCTCCGAGCCGGGCGGAATGAAGGAATGAGGGCCCAGCTCCCGCCGAAGGCCTGCCTGGGAGGGGCTGTGGAGAGGAGGCAGAGGGCAGAGGAGGCTGGGACTGGGTGGCTTCAGCCACGTCAGGAAGCAGAGGAGGCGCCTGGAGCTGGGACAGATGTGCTTCTGTGTGCCATGTATGTGATTGTGCTGCGTGTTGTGTTGCAGGTGGTGTGTGCTGTGTGTGCTGTGTTGCAGGTGGTRTGTGCTGTATGTTATTGTGTGTCGTGTTGCAGGTGCTGTGTGTTGTTGTATGTCGTGTTGCAGGTGGTGTGTACTGTGTGTCATGTTGCAGATGATGTGTTCTGTGTGTTATTGTGTGTCGTGTTACAGGGGGTGTGTGCTGTGTGTTATGTGTTGTGTTGCAGGTGGTGTGTGTTGTGTGTCATATTGTGGGGGGTGTGTGCTGTGTGTTATTGTGTATAGTGTTGCAGGTGGTATGTGCTGTATGTTATTGTGTGTTGTGTTGCAGGTGCTGTGTATTGTGTGTCGTGTTTCAGGGTGTGTGCTGTGTGTTATTGTGTGTCGTGTTTCAGGGGGTGTGTGCTGTGTGTTTTTGTGGGTCGTGTTGCGGGGGGTGTGTGCTGAGTGTTATTGTGTGTCCTGTTGCAGGGGTGTGTGCTGTGTGTTATTGTGTGTCGTGTTGCAGGGGGTGTGT